AAAGAGTGACTTGGCTCAGTGGGGCTTACATAATATAAAGTCTGTCTGCCTATTGCTATTTCAGATACATGCTCATCAACGGCGAGTGATCATGTGCAGCTGGAAAATACGGAAAACCAATGGTCTACTCGGCAGGTCAACTCTGCCGCGAAGTTGTTAAATTCATGTTCTAACAGATAACATACCATAATGCAAGTGTTTGGATTATGCAGACAAGCTGTCCAAAATTGTGCAGTGATAAGCAGCTAGTTCCTGACCTCCAAGAAATATCTGCGTGGACAAAAAAAATAAAAGGCAACTCCCATGATGGAGTGTTGGCTTACTATCCAGACTGTATCCATGGAAAGATTTAAAGTTTTCAGATACGGGATTAGACCTCTTGGACACATTTTCAGTTGATATTTGAAAAAATGAAAGCCGCCTTGAAACAAACTGCATATAATTTAAATGTAATGGAAAACAACCGATATAGTAAATATGGCAGCACTTAACAAGAGTGGAAATATAAAACAGGTGGTTCAAAAAGGTTTTTCAATACACAGAACTCGAATGAAAAAAATTAAACAGGCCTATAATTTTTAAAAGTTTCATTTCTTTCACTTTCCCGCCTGTCCCCACGAATCAAAGAAAGGCATTTTGAGCAGATGCAAGATTTGTAAAGGTTATCGAATGAAGCCAAGACAAAACCTCTTAAGGTCGCGCGAAAGCTTTACATCTTTAGCAGAGGAACATTGTAAGTTTTGCCTGTTCTGGAGGTTCTGGAGAGGTAGTGCTGGCCTGATAAAACAATTTATTTGATCAGGCTCGCATCATAACCACCTGTGACATCACAGCATGCCTGATGAACCTATGGTCCAAATTTATTTTTTTACTTTTACTGGGGGGAAAGAGAGGTATTTTTTAAAATCAAAACGTCACATGTTCATTAACGTGCATTTTATTTCAAAGTGTATTAATTCTGAAAGTGTATTAACAGTTTAACACTTGAAGCGGTAAGGGGTTTTATATTAGCCTTTCGCCAAATTAATTAAAATAGGTCATTACAATTATTTACAAGAAGATAATGATAAACAAAACATCAATAAAAATTTGATAGATACCTTTTAAATATCACTCTCTTATACAACACGATTGTTTTTTTTTCCTTCGAATATGATAGAGTACGCAATTTATTTAGTTTTTTCCTTTCCAGACGAGAAAGCTAACTCCCCCCATTTAGTGCTAATTGTTTTGCTGCAAGGCCGCATGATATTTGACAGATTGCGTTAAAACACGGGAAATAACATCTCGCGAATAAAAAGGTTCGTTTCGTTATTTGCTTCCGCATGCACGGTGTCGCCTGGGACAAAAAGGGGCCGCCGCACGTACTGGTTACACAACAAAAGCTTCCGAGCCATGTTCGTGCGCTGCTTTATTAACTCTCCGCCGATAAAGACGAGCTCGCGAGTGTTGTACAACATTAATTGGAACGGCGATGCAATGCCGAACGACTGCCCACATTTTAGTATTTTTTTCAAATTTGAACGGCACGCCACCACTTCCGAGACGCAATATTTACGCTGAAACCTCCCCCCCCCCCCCCCCAAAAAAAGCAATCGCATCTTGCGATGGCCGCATTCACTACACGGCACCTAAGCATCGAATAGATCCTGAAATAACACGAAAACCTGGGCGCTGAACGAAATGGATCACTCCCGCATTGTCGGCATATATGTTTAACACTGCAAATTGTAGCTTAAATGCTTCTCACCGTGGGTGATATTTACATTTTTTGCGATACAAAGGCCACCTTCACCCTGCCTATTTTTTCTGCCTTCTTGGTTCTTAATATCATGCCAAAAAAAATAGGGAGTTCTCTTTCAAAGGCTCATGTTACAGCACAAGTGAAAATAAAAGATACGATGAAATCAACGGGATTTTGCTCGCAGACAAATTTTTCCGTTGCAGCTGCACCCAATTACGTCCTTAGGGTGGGCCATTTCCAATAACCAAGCGGAATGTTGCGCGCGTACCGTAATACGTTGCACCAACGCTTACCCTCCTCCTCCTCCTCTATTTGGCAGGAACACGACCACACGCTTGAAATTTAACCAATTAAAACCAGTGTGGCATGCCACGAGTTCTCTAATTGCTAACATTAATTTTGCGAGCATCTCAATATAAATAATGACGCAAATAAATGCACGTATACCTTAATCAAGTGATTACTTTGAATTTTGTGACAAAAGTAAATTATGAAAGCATATAAACAATTGTATAAAAGTTTCCTAAGTTCACAATGGGCCTCCTTGTTTAAAAAAAAAGTACTTTTCTTTGTACAAGACAATAGGATTTCAGAAGCAAATCTTCTTCGTGTGGTGCATCAAAAGATGTCAGATAATAAAGACAAAGATTCCTCCCCCCATATAGCCTTCGATAGACTTTTGGGGCAAGTGCTATTCGCAAGCACCTATGAAGGACGGCACAGCACACGATGGGGGGCGTGGCGATGATTACACATCTCACCGGGTACTTATTTGAGCCTGAGTCGAACTAGGGGAGGCCCAGGATTGGTTCAGTAATCATCACTGGTGTTGGTCATGAGCGGGAATCGAACTCGGGTCGCTAGGTTCATAGCGCAGTGCACTAACCGCTGTGCCACCACTCCACAGATAGCGTACATGTATAAACAAACGCCGAGAACGACATTTTCACGCGACGAAGCTTACCGGGAAACGGTGAGCACTAACGTTGCCCAGTTCATCTCAGTCTAAAGTATTTCATCCGAGCATGCAACGTAAAAAAAGAAACACGGTAACAAAAAAGAACCAGACATCAATAAATGTTAAGCATAGTTAGCACGTCGAGCAATATGAAACCGATTCACGTTGAACTGCAAGATGCGATAAAACTAATACGTAGTTTGAAATTTAAATACAGCATGGGCATGGTCTTAAAATGATTTGACTTTTCTTTGTCAACTTTTTCCAAACACCACATAGCATAGGTTACATTCACTTATGGCAAACAACATGACTTCTCCACCATACGAGTGTATTTGCCTAAGGTGCTGAAATGTTGTAAACGTGTGTGTGTGTGGAGAGCAATCGCACAGTGGTTAGCATGCTGCGCTACGAACCCGGCGACCGGAGTTCGATTCCCGCTATGGGCCCCCAACACCAATGACGATTATCTCAATCAGTTGTGGGCCTCCCCTAAGAAGACTCAGCCTCAAATGAGTACTTGGTGCGGTGTGTAAACATCCCCACAGTGGAGACAAATACAGCCGGGCGTGGTGCTGGCAACCCACGCCCTCGTGTACCATGCCGGCCTTCATAGGTGCTCGCAAATAGCACTTGCCCCAAAAGTCTGTGAAGGCTATATGGGGTATATTTGTCTTTGGGGAGCATTGGCACAGCGTTTAGCGCACTGCATAATGAAGCCGGCAAATTGAGTTTGAGTCCCTGCCATGGCTAATAATATCAGGAACACATGATATCAGAACCTGCTCTAGGCACCGGGGAAACCAAGGTGGCTGAGCATCGTGCTGATCATGTCACCTCCGGCCTTAATAGGTGCTTGCTAACAGCACATACCCAAATAGTCTGTTAATTGCCATACAAGGATTTTTGTCTGTGAGTGTGTGTACGTGTGTGCATGGTTGTCGAGTGCATAACAGGTGCTTGCTAAAATCACTTGCCCCCAACATGTCACGGGCGGTGAATGTCGGAATCGTCGTCTTTGTCTTTTAGGCCGTCGCGCCGGCGAGTGGCTGCGTGTGCGTGCCCTGCCGACACAGACCCGTAGACACGAGCTTGTGCAAAACTCCCACCACAAGTTCGGATCTACGGGTTTGTGGCGACCGGCGGAATCCAGCCCCGCCGCGCGCCCGTCTGTGCGACTACTACCGTCCCGTGCGCCCCGTGTCTCACTGCCGCCGAGAATTTCCGCGCGTGGCGACAAGCACCGATGTTTGGTGTCACGCGCGCTGCTCACTCACTCGCGCCCGCAAACGGCACACTGGCTCGGAGAGTAAAAAATGTGAGCCCGGGGCACAGGTAACGATCACCTGATTGACACAACCGAGTGATGAAATACACGTAGCGTCGGCACACGTAGGGGAACGTAATGAAATGAGGGCGCTCGCATGCCTGTGAGCTAAATTGGTTTGGTCGAGAGACGACAGGGGATGTAGAGAGAACAGAACAGCTCGTCTATTTGTGATGTTCTCTAACACTGTAACCCAGTCGTAACAAACATAAATATTTATAAAAAATAAAACATACACACGCGCATATTACACATGCCGACACTGTTTCAAACGTTCAGCTGCAACGGTGAATATTTTAACAACCAATCAACAAATATTCAACGTAAATTATTTCCACTGATAAATGTGTGTTAACTTTTGACACGAGTGTTCATCCTGGATGCGTCACGTCGCCAATTCTTTTTGACAATCACACGAAACCGAATTTTTTTTTTTGTTTCGTCAAGAACGTTACTGGCATTTCGCTGGCAGGCAGAGGACTCAATTCGTAGCACACATCATCAAGTCCATCCAAGGCACCGTCTGTGATCGCTTCAGCATGAACCAAATCCCCCGTGTGCAACCAAGCCTGGCCAGGCACCCATTTTTCTCGAAATTTCAGTTTCAACTCCATTTGGCCGAGGCCGGCCAGAAAACTACGAACGAATCGCGCATCACCTATCCCAGCATACCTTCCGGTGGGGAGCTGCCCACCTTTGCATGCCTTTGTGCCCTAACTCCTCCCCCCCTTCTGCCACGATTGCCGCTACCGCTGCTGCCTACCACGAGCCCACCACGTCCGCCCACGCAGAACCCCCCCCCACGCCCAACGCCGACGCTCCCGCAACCACCCTCCCCACCAGCCGTCTCCCCCTACCTCCGCACGAGACACACGCGCGGACTCGAGCGCACGGACAGACGTGCGAGAGCGTACGCACGCGCTCACAAGCTAGCCGTCATCCCTCCAAGCCAGCACCCCCCCACCCCTTACCATTTTCCGCATTGCGGCAGAGGCTTGGGTCGTCCCGTTTATTACGTCTGTGCTCGCATGTGTAGGAACAGGCCTCTCTCGTCTCTCCTCTCAGCCCGGGCAATGCTCGTGGCCGCGTCTGTAGCAGACAACACACGAGCGCCAGTGAAGCGGCACCATTGTGTGCGCCGTCGCATTTCATTTTTCGTACGTGCAAATTCAACAATTCAATCTCCCGTCGTTTTTTTGTTATACTTTCGTTCATCAATCTCCCGTCAATAATTCATAGATTTTTTTTTTGCATCGTTATTAAGAGTCGTGTGCAAATGCAGATTTAATTATTTAGATTTTTTTTGCTGTTATTGCAAACAACTGCAAGTACCGTGCTGCAAAAATATCCACTTTGCATTTATACTCTACACAGGTGCTCTGTCTAAAGCATATAAGAAACGTTGCAGAGCAACATTTATTTATACACAGTCTCTAATATACACCTTTTCCCCAATGGTTTCAACATACAGTGTGCTATTTAAAGCCACATTCAATGAATTGTTGTAAGAATAGTCTTCCATCTCATTGTGGATTTATGAAGATTTCAAAGCCGTTGGCGAACGCCGCCGCCACCGCGGCTGTTTGCAAACATCACGCAAAAGCTAAAAAGGTTGCACACGAGGCATTGCGCACCCGATAAGATTAAAAAAAACATTTTGTTACATTAAGTCGCACACCGCAATCTATTAAGCGCGCCAATTTGTCTACAGCAGCTGCAAAAAGCTGCAGACTCGTAGGGGAGAGAGCTATTTAATGAGGGGCAAATTAAAGCAATAAATAAATATATAAACACTTCCACAGTTGAGCGAGCTTCAACAGATTCCACAGCAGGGACCTTTTGGCAATTGGCCTGAAAACCCTGCTTGTTGCCATGCGATCGAGGCCAAGTTTTTGTATTTTGAATAGAAAACACTTTTATTCGCCGTTTTACAGCGAACTCGAAAAAAAAAACCCGAGGGGTTGTTCTCGCGAGCCGAACCGCGCCGCTTACTTTGCCCTCCGAAAGGGGCCCTCTTTCAACGTTGCGAACCGGGAGGCCGCCTTCGTAATAAAAGCTCGCGTCGTCGGAGCGAGAGAAAGTGTCCCGTTGAAACGACTCTTGGCGAAGACCTGGTACCGGAGATTTCCATTCTCCGCTTTACTGCGCCCCCTTCGCTAGCGCCACGTAGTCCACCTTTTAAAAAAGCACAAGTTGGCCTCACAAAATTTGGACGTTTAATTCGAACTTTTCCCGCAAAATTCGAGGCGATTGCGGCGCGTTGCTTGGTTCACGCGTTTTTATTCGAAAGCGCTTGTGCGTTTTTATCCGAGTTACTTCGTGATTACACGGCGCCCGCACGAGTTGCTATACGGCATACGTTGAGAGACGGACAAATGTGTACACAAAGATAATAGTTCAGAGCTGGAACTTCTGTAAACAGATAGGCAAATAAGGTGGCAAGCGTTTTCAAACGCTTGCAAACATACAATCTGGTAAATATCTGCGGCCTTGTTTAGATATGTCCTGACTAAGGTTGCATCGTGTTAGACTTTGCGACGGTTCCAATTTTTGGCAAACGGTTGCAAATTAATTATGTTTTACAATGGTGCATTGTTTTATATCCATTGCATAAATCGGACAATGCGAAATGTGAATTTTTTAAAAGGTGACTGCTTCGCAACGCTTTCTATGGAACCATATGTTTGGGCCTAGTTCAGATGGAATTTTATTATTATATACTACACTCGACGTAAGTGCAATGGAAAAGCAAAAAGCTGGAATCTACACAAGGCAAATGATATGAAGAACTTACTGGGATAAAAAACATTTGTTTATTTAAATCTGTGCATTTCAAGCCTCAAATGTACAATAGGAATGGAAATAAGCTCCAAGTTCTTTTGAAGTAGAACGTTGTCGCTTGTGGGCAGCAGGCCAGGGGGACAACTAGCAAAGGACTTTCGACTGTCCCTGATTAAAGGAGGCCACCTTGCCGACACAGCAAACATCGTGATGGGTTTGTATGTTGGGATCCCAACAGTTCGCAACTATATATATGGTTAATATCCGAAAATGGGTTGTGATAACTGGAAGTATAAAGTAAAACGTGTAAGTATAGTCCCATTAGAAAAACGCCATCTAACCACTGCTTTTAAAGACACCCATTTGAAATATTTTAACAAAGTTCTAAACTGAAAATCAAATTTCTCCACGAAGTGCATTATATAAAGTTACGATCGATGCATGTGACAATCACTCCACGTATACAACTCAAGAATAAGTAACAAGACACAATTAAAACAAACTAACGCACTTATATTTGTTTGGCACGTTAGAACATCGTTTTCCATCCTATGGGATATCAGGACGACCAATCTGGGCTTGATTTCTTTTTAGGCTCTTTTTGTAAAGCTTGGTGGGGTCGCATTGCCCGTCTGCTAGCTGCCAGAAGAGCGTAGCGCGGATGTGTGCATAGAATGCATGCCAGCGAACACAAGCCGCGAGGCAGAATGCTCGAGTACCAAGCACCGCCAAGTCTCCGCTACATTTTGGGACAAGTTCCATGATCGAAAATAAAGAAATAAAACAAAATAGGTCAGACCAAAAGTTAACCATTTAACAAACCCAGGCCTAAAAAAAAGAGGACGAATTGTTTCATTTTCCTCCACTACGCGTTTCATTTTCCTCCACTACGCGTTTCATTTTCCTCCACTACGCGTTTCATTTTCCTCCACTACGCGTTTCATTTTCCTCCACTACGCGTTTCATTTTCCTCCACTACGCGTTTCATTTTCCTCCACTACGCGTTTCATTTTCCTCCACTACGCGTTTCATTTTCCTCCACTACGCGTTTCATTTTCCTCCACTACGCGTTTCATTTTCCTCCACTACGCGTTTCATTTTCCTCCACTACGCGTTTCATTTTCCTCCACTACGCGTTTCATTTTCCTCCACTACGCGTTTCATTTTCCTCCACTACGCGTTTCATTTTCCTCCACTACGCGTTTCATTTTCCTCCACTACGCGTTTCATTTTCCTCCACTACGCGTTTGCCGATTTTGAGATATCATGAATGAAAATTGGACCCTCACGAAACGCGACGATGCAACGATTCCGCTAAAACGGAGTTAAAGTTGCGCTGGGTTCAAAAGTTTAAATTTAGTTTTTAAAACGCTCTACGTTAATTTTCACGGAATAGATAATACGTTACTCCAAGGAAAGGTGTAAGGTTCAATGATCGCATCGAAAGTCTGACAAATGCAAAGCGGAGGGGAAAAACGAAGCCACCATTTTGTTACGCCTTACAAACGAGCGCAAATCGCGTACAAAAATATAATCACGCAATTTTGTCCCCGAACGTGTTATTTTAAAAGAACAAACTATTTTCTCCACAAACGTATGTGACACGGGTAGAGATTTACTCCGAGATCGAATCTTGAGTACCCACCAAGATCTGACAAACACTGCCGCCGATCCCGATCTTTGCGCGGCGAAGATGTCAGTGACCGGCAGCTGTAGCGCCAAGTCGCTCGATGTCCACCAATACCTCGCACAGACCACCAGACCTGCGAGAAAAACCACAACGTATCGGTCAAGAGCAATACTCAACGAATAACGCCGACGACCGGGTAACAAAACCGAGCGCTGCCAAGGTACATTTCGAAAGTACGATACTCAATTTGTGCGCTAAATTCGTCGGCCGCACCACAAACGGGGCCCGCGAGGCGGTAAAGAAAAAAGGAAAAAAAAAGGGAAGTAAAAATTGTCCACGATTTAAAAAGCCGTGCGCAACGGAATACGGCGAAACGTTAAGTAGAAAGCGCTGAAAATATATCGGCGGGTTTTCGAGTTCGCTTCGACAGAAAAACGAGAGCCCGCGATCCTCCGTTGGCGGCAATATGAACGTGGCTGCCTGATGGCGGAGTGCGGGTCTTAGCGCCCAAAGTTTTCGACGTGCTTCGGCCTGCGCTGCCTATTCCCAGGGAGATTTTTTTTTATTTCGAAAAAGCCAACTATTAAAATCTGGGAAGTCTGCCATCCTTTTCTAACCAGCGTTCTCGTCCAAGACCCATGTAAAAAAAAAATCTGGCCCAGTGCTCTGCCTTCGCTGAGCGACAATGGCGGGCCGCCCGTGTTGGCAACAGCGATGCCGACTGCAGAGGGGGTGAGCAAACGCAAAAGTGAGCACGCCAGAGCGAAAAGAAAATAGTACTGCGCATGCTGAGACTTTTCGTACTGAAAATCGCAGCGTCCGTGTAGATAAACGTACTCGTTGTAACATCGCGAACTGTTAAGCTATCTATTTTCCCCCCCTAAAGGTTTCACTTCGCCGCATGCTTGCACAGGGGCTTTACGGTTTCCTGTAAAAATCTCAATGAATTAAAAAAAAGAAAAAATCAGGCATATTTATTGGACACCCCTGGTAGACCTAACTGGGCTCCGGACCCAAGCTGCCATTCTTGGCTCTGGGCCCTTTCTTGCAAACACACATTCCGATCACGAAGCACTGCGGATTCTTTCTACCAATCCCACGCGTCGAGACATTTGAGCGGCAAAAGCAACCAATGGTGGTAAGCGTTGTAAAATTAATAAATAAAACAACCCCGAGTAACTAAATAAATAAAATAATGCTTGCCTCGCCTGCCTTGGCAGAAATGAACAAGTTACAGTTGAAATGCCAAGCCAATACAGCTCGTGTGTTCGCTAAAATATACCCGAGCATTATGTTTCAACGGGCGATGGCACTGCTCAGGGATATTAAATGTAAATAGGGTGCATGTGGCAAAATGCCAAAACCAATGCATGCCTATTTGAAAAATGTAAGACAAAATGAGGACTGGTTTCACGACAAACGGAAAACATTCTTTAAATTATTGCCCGTGATTTCATTTCGCAACACTTCCTAAACGCACGTCGTCATTTTTCCTCTTCACATTTTTTACTCCCCACCGCCCTCCCTACAACGAAAATAAAATTAACAGGAAATTAGAATTCTGTTCGAAAACTGCAGCGCGTAAAAATGCTTTAACGCAGAGAGCGACGAGTGTTCGAAAAGGGAAAACGTACCCAAATGCGTTTTCAGGCTGTAAATAAACGCTTTTTGTTTATGAAAAGATTTATCGGGCGTGAGAGGGGGCAGCCTTCTTGGAGGGCCGCCAAGGGCCCAACACGGCGACAAAGCAGCACAAATAAGCATTGGGGCTGATCTGTTGGAAGCTCGTCGGACGAACAGAGCCAGAACACTGCGTCCTGCGCGCCAGATAGGCCAAGCAGCGAAACTACCCCCAACAACTGGAGATAGCGAAATCCTACTGGCTCTCTGGGAATGGCAAATGGGCGGGGGGAGACGGGTCAGGTGACTTGGCAATGTGGCTGTGACATTTTAAAGGAGCGGTAAGTTGTGCGGGCGATGATGCATACAAATAAATATATAATAAATTCTCAACCAGGCAGACTACGAGTGCCATGCAATGGGAAAGCTAAATAACCCATCCTAGAAGGCTGCTGCTGACAACTGTTGGAAATTTGATTCAGATTTTTTGGTCATGCAAAATTGTATTTCCTTTTTTGTTTGTATACGGGACATATGCGTGCATGTCTGTGTGTGTTCAGTCATGGCATGTTGGCCAACATGGGCCAGAGGCAAAATATGAGATGCAAAGCAGCTGCCATGAAACGTTTATGAACTAAAAAACTAAATGTTTATTAATTTCGTTGTGAACAAAAAAATCATTTTCACCACGAACACAAAAAACGCACCAATTATTCAAATGTTATTTCACAAGAGGCAAATGTGAAAAAGGTGAATGTTTGAATATTTTGTTGAAGATAAACAAAAAAATAGAAATGCATCAGGTAGTGCATTTACATTACACGTTTCTCTCCGCCCCCATTTTGTTTTACGTAACCCTCCACGTAATTATTCTGGGAAAGTCCACTCCGTGAAGGTGCCACTGACTTAATAGCTGGCAGGATTATTGAGGCTTTTTAATGAAATCTGAGCAATAAAAATAGCGCCATCTCTCTCTCGCCCTTCTCCTTATGGCGGAGCTGAAAGCCTCCCCATTGCCTGGTCACCTCGAGTTTGGCAGGCAGCCATTTTTTTTTTGCGCTTTATGCACAAAATGATGAAATTGACTGTGGCAATGCGCCAAGTCTCACCCTGCCGCAGCAAACATTTCCCATGATGCATCTCCCATTCCTATGCAGTCGCCTCGATACCTGGAGCAACGAAGCGTTGCCATGGAAATAATTTTTTTGTAAATCATTAATGTCAGGCAGCGGTCATGCGCCAATTAATTGTTTGTCACTGCTTTTAATATTTAATAGTTTTTACAAATTTTGGGAACTCTGTTATTTTTCCTCAAAATTAGAATTCATCAGTGGCTTGTGAAAACTGTGGTTAACTAGCAAAAGGAGCTTTGGTTGCAATTATTTTTGAATGCCTTAATTGTTAATTACCATCATGTTGTACCGTTACATGCAAAGACATGCGCCTTTGCACTGCTTGCAAAACTGTGATTGTTTTCAACAGCCTAGCCCGATGTCATAATTATATTTAGTTTTCGGTAAAACTCATGTTCTAATTAGAAAAACCTAAAGAAAAATTCGGTGAAAGGTTCATATCCACGAGATTCTGGAACAATCCAAGAATAACTTCCAGAATGCAATAACAAGTGTTCAATACAAATAACAAAGGATACATAAAATCAAACCGCACTGTACATATCTATAAACACGAGTTAATAACTTACATTTTCCATAATAAAATAGTTTTTTTTGGGATATTGGTCGCGAAAGCCTATGTCAAACCTATCTTCAATTTTAACAAAGTACTCCACGGTAAATACACCCCCGCCACATTTATGATTAATCCTCAAAGAACGGTTCTTTGATTCATTAGCGGTGCAAAAAATTCGGCACGGACGTGCGGTGGAATCAGCGAGTGCCCGAGTCTGTTGAGAAATGTGCCGACACAGCGGCATGGCTCTGTGAGTCACTCTCCGGCAACGTTACCGCTGCTGCTGCTGCTGCCCAACTTGCCTGCCAACAGCACGCCCTGCCGTCCTGCCAGGGTGTGCGTGGGGAGTGGTGGTGTGGCGGTTAGCGCGCTGCGCTACGAACCCGGCGACCCGAGTTTGATTCCCGCTCACGGCCGCAAACACCAGTGGCGATTATCTGAATCGGTCCTGGGCATCCCCTAGGTCGACTCGGCCACGAATGAGTACCTGCTCCGGTGTGTAAAAACATCGCCACTGGGGAGACAAAGGCGGTCGGGCGTGGTGTTGGTCACCCAGTCCCTCGTGTGCTGTGCCGGCCTTCATAGGTGCTCACTAACAGCACTTGCCCCAACAGTCTGTTCAGGCTATACGAGAGGATCTTTGTCTTTAGACGCACACGCTTTGGACTGTACCACCGAGACAAAGAGACAGCGCAGCGAAAATGGAGGACAGAAAAAAAATGGAACAAAATGGAAATGATTCCCGTGAGCATTTTGGTGCAGGGACATCTTGGGAGAGAGCAGAGATTGCTGAGGTGGGTGGCAACATTTAGGTGGACCTTATATACCAATGTGCCCTATACATCAACAAGCGTACACATGTATTCTACCAGCCCATGATGCCAAGGCCCTCTGCTATGGTCAAACAATCTTTGTGTGAGGCATACATTTTATTATTAGACGATTCGACTGGTTTTTTTGCATCAAGGGACAGTCCGCCTCATGAGAGTACTTCAATCAAATCAAATGTACAATCTAGAAAATATGAATGCAATGATCAATTGTAAAACTAAAATGACCCGTGCACTGTCAAAAGAAGTTGGGAGCTTCTGCAGATTTCTCCTGGCCCGGCCTCATGTGCGAAGAGCCAAAGCACTGAATATTGGCACACACATGCACAAATCAAGTTGCACATGTTTTGTTTTGACACTCAAATGGAATGAAACAAAATGAAAAGTGTAGAGAGGCCTAAAGTTGCTTTGAAACACATGCCTTCACTATTCGAGTCATTATAACCACTGTTTATTAAAACATTGCTTTTTTTTATAAAGGATGCTCAAAATATCTGTCATTGGGCAGTTGAAAAAGCCCTCAGGTCTGAACATGTTTTCTACATATTGCAAGCACTGTACTGAAATGACAAAGACGCTATGTATCTAAACAGCCAGAAACTTTTAAATTTAGCACTTGCAATTTTACCTACTGAAAATATATATTTTTGAATTTGCACTTGCAACTAGGATTCCCATTTAAAGAATATTTTGATGAATTCACGAAAAGTGCATCATTGTTTTTTTGTTCAACGACTGATAAAGTAAATACATGTAATTAAACCACTTGTGGCCAGGTCGTTTCTGAAAGAAGAGCTCTTTAGGTAAAATAAATATAGTAAATTCAGTAGTAAATAAGAGTTAACGGGGTTATATAATTTAGCATGGGTTGTAACACCATGAATAGACTGAAGGAAAAGTGCGAGAAAAGAAGCAGAGCGAGGAGTGTTTTGACCTGCAGTGTGGTGGTTCAGTGCAGTGTAGATGAGATGAAAGTCAGGTCTGGTGGTCCGCG